CAGTTTTATCGGCACGGGCGTAGTTAGCTTCGTGACAGCTCCGATAACTATACCGATATTCGACACTATACTATCATTGAACGTAACGAGACCGAAGCAAATGCCGCATCCGGCCGAGTTTTTCGTAGATATGAAAAGGTATTATTATATTTTGCTAGTAATTACGTTTGCAGGATATGCTGCATGCAGTGCAGTAGCGATCGCAACCGATACAATCTACGTTGCATTGTTGCAACACGTCTGTGGTGTTCTGGCCATATTGAGGTATTTCAGTTTTAACTCATTTTTCATCAGAGAAAATATTTCTTTCCTTCATATCATATCGAATTGTATATTTGCAGTTATCGTTTAGAAAAACTGGATGTGCACAATAAATCGGAATATACCGATCTCATATCTAAAGTGGATAAAAATGTTGAGAAAATGATAGAGTGCATACAGTTACAAATCAGAACAGAAAGGTTCATATAAATATAATATCATATGAAGTCTGTTATAATTATACTTTCTTAATTTTATCCATTTTATCTACTCCATTTATTATGAATTATTATTAGACTAATTAAGTTGATTGATCGACGTTTGCAATATGTTTCCTTACTGACATCGGTTTGGGAATTCTACTTCAATGTTCTGCATGTGTCATGGTAAATAATATATTCTTCTTAACAGTTAATATCATTTTAACAAGTGAATTTTACATTGCGAAAGAAACTATTCACTTCTGTATTGATAAAAATTAATCAAAAACAGATCAATAATTTTCTAATTTGTTCATTTATTGTGCAGATTGTTACTGATATGGATACAACAAAAATAATAAAACATTGTCCGATTTTGTTAATGCAAAGTACTAGAATTTTTTTCAATAGTTGGGTAGGGCAGAAGATAATAGATCACAGTTCTCAGATATCTGATGCAACGTAAGTTATCGATTTAATTGACAGTACTATAATTTTAGTTACAAATTATATTGTATTTTTAGATATAACGGAAGATGGTATCAAATGTCTTCACAAGTGAAAAGAATGGTGCTTTTTGTTATGATGAAAGGTACAAAACCATATTGCGTAAAAATGGCCAAATTGTATGTAATCTGTTTGGAAAGTTACGGCTCGGTAAAGTTTATTATATTAATAAAAACTATAAAAATAAATATACAAATGTGTGTGTGTGTGTATGTGCGTGTAAAAATATAAACTTTACATAATAATTTTTTATATAATATTTAAAATACACAAAAATATTCTATACGAAAAATACTTAAGATTATATATCGAAAAATGTATACATTTAATATTTCATTATTTTAAGCTCATGAAGGCATCCGCTTCCTACATTACGTTAATGCTGTCATTAACTTCGGATGACGTGTAATTACCATTTGGAATTCTGTGGATTCTTTATACATCATCTGGTAAAAATATGATTGTGAATAAAAATATTTCTGTTTTTATATATATTTGTGTATATATTATATCATATTTTATTTGATAAATTGCAATTACAATATTTCTTATTTTTATTTCATATTTCGTTTTGAATTAAATTTAGTAAGTATAATTATTTATTTATAACTGTATTATTATATCCTTTTTTATTTATTTGCTCATTGTAGGAAAGCTTAAATTCAAATAAATCCTGTCAATTTTATAATAAAAAGAACATGTAAAATAATATTAGCAATATTGAGTAGTAAACATCACAATTTCTGTTTTAACTTTATTCTATTTTATAAATAATATTATCATATTATCATATTATTATCATATTATCATATTAGTATTTCGCACAGTTCACACGTAAGTAGACAAATACTACATGTACAATACAATACCATATGTATAACATATTTATATATTATATATTTACGTAATATTTATGTATATAATATAATATATATTTACGTATATAATATATATTTACATGAAACAATGGATAAAGATAACTCACCTAAAATATTCAAAATTATTAAAAATTTCATCTTTAAATAATATATTATTATAACATTATATAAAATATATTTTTTCTGAAATATAAGAAATATGTAATCTATTAAAATATTAATATCAATAACTTAGAAAAATACTCTAAAAGATAATTATCTAGTATTTAAATAAAATTATTTGTAACTGCAGTGTGTATTTGTGTAATAGAAAGTTTATTACAACAATTTAATAGATTATATTAGTATATACACTAAATAACTTTAAAAAATAATTTTAAATAAATACAATAATTAAATTTTATGCTTTAAAAATTAGGCTCAAAGCTAGATGTTACAAGAAAGGAATAAAAAAAGAGAAAGAAAGATAAAAAAGATAATAATTTTTATCTTTCAACTTTTATACATGATAATATTATAGAATATATTTAGATAAATATTGTTGTAACATAAAAATACGGTTAAAATCCTCTTAATACCAATCAGTTTTAATTTAGAGAAAATTAGATTTAGATAAAATATACATTATAGCTTCACTATTGTGATACAGTGCAGTTTACCCATACCGTATTACTGTTTATCTTATAATTTTAGAAACTTTGTAAAGCAATTTATAAAGCAACATATCATCGCAGTTATAGATGCTCCGGACATAAAGAGTCGTACGAGAAACGTGATTATAATCATGTGACTATAATCATAAATATATGATTGTGCACAATATAATATTGTGGGATATATCGTTTTTTAATTTTATACTATTTTTCTTTTTAAAAACATTTTCAAAGGAATACGTGAGGAATACTATTTTCAAGGAAGAAGCGATTTAAGCGTGAATATTCGACGAGATATTTTATCGTTTTGAATAATACTTCCTTGGTTTTCTAATAAAATGTCTTCCTATGATCCAATCGCTATTATTATCTCAACAAAAGGCTCCTGTCTATAATTGGCCAATGGCCGTTTCAATCGTGATTGGAGGGTAACATAATGTTTGCCGTTACATCTTTGTTTATTCTTATTTCAACAACTTTAGAGATGTTTAAAGATACGTATGATAGCAGTATGTTGAGACTAAGACTGACAATTTTACTGACAATTTTCCATAGCTTTGGGGATTGATAGCTGGGATAACAGATCTAAACATCATCATGAAGAACACGCCGTCATTACTGGCAGATACTATAATCATCATGAAACTCATTAACTATGTGTGCGTATCAATCATAAAGTTTATATCTTGTATTTTTCACGTACGAAGTTAATCAGCTCATTCTATAATTATATATCGAACGATTTCTTCGAGCTACAGATGAAAGAATTTTTGGATATTGAAAAGATTTGGAAGATGAAACATGGTCCAGAGAAAAAAATATTACAGAATTATGCGAAGGAAAGCAAAACTTTCACGATACGATACGCGTGTAAGTTCTTTTTATATTATAAGCTAAAAAAAACTTTGTTATATATAAGTACTATAAATTTAGCAATATATGTAATACATTATATTTAGTTTTCAATATCACATCCTCTCATTTAGATTTATTTTTACATTATTATTATTAAAAAAATAATGACTTCTTTTTTTTCTTCCTCCGAACTATTTCCAAACTTTCGACAATTTAATGTAAATCGGAAGATCTGACTTCTTGTTTTAAAAATTACTTCACTTATTTCTTTTTACTGATTTTTGTGAAAAATGATATAATCTGTATAATTTGTTTTTACTTTGTTAAAATTATTGTTTCTTAAAACAATGATGTGATGTACAAAGAATCATTTCAGTTGTTTTTTTACATGGGATGGATATCCTTTTTTACGGCACCGGTTACTTTTAGCACGATATACACGCTCTTACCGACGAATGAAACATACTCGATCGGGTTTCTATGTCGCGTGGATCATATTCTTGATGTGAACAAGTATTTTAATCTGTTGATGTGCTTTATGGTTATTAGCGTGTTCTATACAATTTCCGTGCCAGTAGCTGTCGATTCCGCGTTCACACTTTGCATTTATTATGTCTGTGCATTGTTTGAATATACACGGTGAGTCGCTCCGTAAGCTGTATCAAAAGATCTTTTTTTTTAAAAAAAATTGCGGTATTATAACAGATATAATATGGAGGCACGGATATCGTTTTGCTCAAGCCGAATATCGAAGAGAAGGATGAAGCATATCATGACATAATTTATTGCATTAAATCCTATAAACATGCTTTAAAGTTAAGACCAGGATAATTTTTTATAAATATATCTTCAATATTATAACAATAAAATAATATTTGTAAAATTCTTTTTAAGTTATGTTTATATCAATTTAAAAAAATATAACATTAATGTTTCTATTAACGAATTGTATTAGACTCTTTTACGTAAACTAACGCATATTTTATTATTCGACATAAACTTTCCAATTTACTCTCATTTATTTATGAAATTTCTATTATTATTGAGAAATGTGATTATATGCTTCAGCTTCAGTATGGCTCAGGTAAGTCTGATTATAATAAAAATAATAAATATAATAAATAAAAAAATTTTTATAA